CCCACCCCCATGTGACTGGCCCCCACGTGTAACTGCACCACCAAAACATGTTATTGCCCCCCATGTCACTGATCCCCCCACGTGACTACTCGCCATGTCACAACCCCCCGCAGCTTGGCGACATGTTGCGGTAGGATCGTCAGCGGCAGTAATCCAAGGGATGTGATTCAGTGGTTCGTGTAATTGCAATCCAGCATAAAAGGGGTTAACAGTGTAACAGAGCGAGATCTCTGATCGTCTGCTTATGCCTGAAATTGGCACATGCGCAGTTGTGTTAAGGGGGCAGATCTTCACGGGGACAGTTCTGGAACACTGAGCTAACCAGAACACGTGTCACCACATCCTCCCCCCACCACTAGAGGTCTCCGCTCTACATACGAGTTCACGGAACAGGCGCCATTTTTCCGGAGACCACCCCCTCCTCCGGGTAACAGAATTCCACCCATCCTCAGGGGAGATCCGCTGCCCTTGTAGTGGAAAGCAATCCGATCATCGGACTCTGAATATGAAGGCGGGGTCTGGTCTCCGAAAGGATGAAGGAGTGGGAGGGGTCAGGACGGGGTTTAGTCTCCTGGACGATGGAAGGGTCGGAGGAGAGGATGGGCGTGTCAGGGTGTGGTCAAGGAGGTATATAAGAAGGGGGGCGGGAAGTACCGACACATTGCTATGTGAGCACCTGACAGGTGAGAGGAGTCGAGAGCAGAGCCGGGCCGGGGTTTAGTCTCTGGGAGGATGGAAAGGTGGGAAGGGTCAGGGCGGGATTTAGTTTCTGGAAAGATGGAGGGACGTGTCAGGGTGTGGCCAAGGAGGTATAATAAGGAGGTTGCGGGAAGTTGCGGCACATTGCTGACTGACCGCCTGACAGGTGAGAGGAGGCAGGGTTGGAGTGCAGATGGCCCGTTTGAGAAGCTGCTGATAGAAGCGGACTCCTTGGCTGTGATGACGTCACTCGGAGCAGGACATCGATTCCACAGATTCCATCGGAGCTTCCCCCCCGCGAATCTCCTCTCTCAGGAGAACTTAACACCCCCCACCCCCGTGGACTGGTGACTGTCCTCTCGCAGGAGATATTCTATCCCCCCCGTGACTGTCTTCTCGCAGGAGATAATATACTCCCCCGTGACTGTCCTCTCGCGGGGGGGGGGGGGGTGGGTGGAGAATCTCCTGCGAGAGGACAGTCACGGGGAGGGGGGGGGAGGGGGTGAATATCTCCTGCGAGAGGACAGTCACGAGGAGGTCACGGGAGGGGGGGGGGAGGGGGTGAATATCTCCTGCGATGGAGGACATCACGGGAGGGGGGGGAGGGGTAGTGAATATCTCCTGCGAGAGGACAGTCACGGGAGGGAGGGGGACGGAGGGGGTGAATATCTCCTGCGAGAGGACAGTCACGGCGGAGGGTGGGGGGAGGGGAGTGAATATCTCCTGCGAGAGGACAGTCACGGGGAGGGGGGGGAGGGGGTGAATATCTCCTGCGAGAGGACAGTCACGGTAGGGGGGGGGGGGGAGATTCCCCCCAATGACTGTCTCGCAGGAGATATTTCTCCCCCCCCCATGACTTGTCGACTCGGTAGGACAGACATTGGGGGGTGAATATCTCCTGCGAGAGGACAGTCATTGTGGGGGGGGGGGGGGGGGAGGGGGGTGAATATCTCCTGCGAGAGACAGTCACGGTAGGGAGGGGGGGGGGGGAGGGATCTCCTGGAGATTCCCCCCCATTGACTGTCTCGGGGATATATTCTCCCCCCCCCATGACTGTCGGGTAGGGACAGACATTGGGGGGGGATATCTCCTGCGAGACAGTCATTGGGGGGGGGGGGGGGGGGGATATCTCCTGCGAGACAGTCATTGGGGGGGGGGGGATATCTCCTGCGAGACAGTCATTGGGGGGGGGGGGGGATATCTCCTGCGAGACAGTCAGTTGGGGGGGGGGGGGGATATCTCCTGCGAGACAGTCATGGGGGGGGGGGGGGGGGACATCTGGGGGAATATCTCCTGCGAGGACAGTCACGGGGGGGGGGGGGGGGGGGGGGATATCTCCTGCGAGACAGTCACGGGGGAGGGGGGGGGGGGGGGAATATCTCCTGCGAGAGGACAGTCACATTGGGGGGGGGGGGGGGATATCTCCTGCGAGACAGTCATTGGGGGGGGGGGGATATCTCCTGCGAGACAGTCATAGGGGGGGGGGGGGGGGGGGATATCTCCTGCAAGACAGTCATGGGGGGGGGGGGGGATATTCTCCCCCCCCTGCGACTGTTCAGTCGTTGATCTCCTACCAATGGGGGGGGGGGGGGGGATATCTCCTGCAGAGACAGTCACATCTGGGACAGATATCATCCCTGCGAGACAGTCATTGGGGGGGGGGTGGGGGATATCTCCTGCGAGACAGTCATTTGGGGGGGGGATATGGCGGGGATGGGGGGGGGGGGGGGATATCTCCTGCGAGACAGTCATTGGGGGGGGGGGGGGGGGGGATATCTCCTGCGAGACAGTCATATGGGGGAGGGGGTGGGGGGGGGGATATCTCTCTGCGAGACAGTCATTGGGGGGGGGGATATCTCCTGGGGGGGGGGGGATATCTCCTGCGAGACAGTCATTGGGGGGGGGGGGATATCTCCTGCGAGACAGTCATTGGGGGGGGGGGGGATATCTCCTGCGAGACAGTCATTGGGGGGGGGGGGGATATCTCCTGCGAGACAGTCATTGGGGGGGGGGGGGATATCTCCTGCGAGACAGTCATTAGGGGGGGGGGGGGGGGATATCTCCTGCGAGACAGTCATTGGGGGGGGGGGGGGGATATCTCCTGCGAGAGACAGTCATGGGGGGGGGGGGGGGGGATATCTCCTGCGAGACAGTCATGGGGGGAGGGGGGGGGGGGGGGATATCTCCTGCGAGACAGTCATAGGGGGGGGGGATGGGGGGGGGGGGGGGGGGATATCTCCTGCGAGACAGTCATTGGGGGGGGGGGGGGGGGGGGGGGGGGGGGGATGGGATTCTCCTGCGAGACAGTCATATGGGGGGGGGGGGGGGATATCTCCTGCGAGACAGTCATATGGGGGGGGGGGGGATATCTCCTGCGAGACCAGGGGGGGGGGGGGGGGGGGGGATATCTCCTGCGAGACAGTCATATGGGGGGGGGGGATATCTCCTGCGAGACAGTCATATGGGGGGGGGGGGGGGATATCTCCTGCGAGACAGTCATATGGGGGGGGGGGGGGGGGATATCTCCTGCGAGACAGTCATATGGGGGGGGGGGGGGGATATCTCCTGCGAGACAGTCATATGGGGGGGGGGGGGGGGGGGATATCTCCTGCGAGACAGTCATATGGGGGGGGGGGGGGGGGGGATATCTCCTGCGAGACAGTCATATGTGGGGGGGGGGGGGGGGATATCTCCTCCTGCGGGGGGGGGGGGGGGGGGATATCTCCTGCGAGACAGTCATATGGATATCTCTGGGGTCATATGGGGGGGGGGGATATCTCCTGCGAGACAGTCATATGGGGGGGGGGGGGATATCTCCGGCGAGGACAGTCATATGGGGGGGGGGGGGGGGGGATATCTCCTGCGAGACAGTCATTGGGTGGGGGGGGGGGGGGATGGGGGGGGGGATATCTCCTGCGAGACAGTCATTGGGGGGGGGGGGGGGGGATATCTCCTGCGAGACAGTCATTGGGGGGGGGGGGGATATCTCCTGCGAGACAGTCATTGGGGGGGGGGGGGGATATCTCCTGCGAGACAGTCATGGGGGGGGGGGGGATATCTCCTGCGAGACAGTCATCATTGGGCGCGGGGGGAGGGGGGGGGATAATCTCCTGCGAGACTCAGTCCATTTTGGGCGGGGGGGGGGGGGGATATCTCCTGCTGAGACAGTCATATGGGGGGGGGGGGGGATATCTCCTGCGAGACAGTCATATGGGGGGGGGGGGGGGATATCTCCTGCGAGGACAGTCATATGGGGGGGAGGGGGGGGGGATATCTCCTGCGAGACAGTCATATGGGGGGGGGGGGGGGATATCTCCTGCGAAGACAGTCATATGGGGGGGGGGGGGGGGGGGGGGGTCTCGGGGGATCTCTCCTGCGAGACAGTCATATGGGGGGGGGGGGGGGATATCTCCTGCGAGGACAGTCATATGGGGGGGGGGGGGGGGATATCTCCTGCGAGGACAGTCATAATGGGGGGGGGGGGGGGGGGATATCTCCTGCGAGACAGTCATCATGGGGGGGGGGAGGGGGATATCTCCTGCGAGACAGTCATATGGGGGGGGGGGGGGGATATCTCCTGCGAGACAGTCATATATCTCCTGGGGGGGGGGGGGGGGATATCTCTGCGAGACAGTCATATGGGGGGGGGGGGGGATTATCTCCTGCGAGACAGTCATATGGGGGGGGGGGGATATCTCCTGCGAGACAGTCCATATGGGGGGGGGGGGGGATATCTCCTGCGAGACAGTCATTGGGGTTGGGGGCGGAAGGGGGGGGGGGGGGGGGGGGATATCTCCTGCGAGACAGTCATTGGGGGGGGGGGGGGATATCTCCTGCGAGACAGTCATGGGGGGGGGGGGGATATCTCCTCCGCGAGACAGTCATTGGGGGGGGGGGGGGATATCTCCTGCGAGGACAGTCATGGGGGGGGGGGTGGGACGGGGGGGGATATTCTCCTGCGAGACAGTACATTGGGTGGGGGGGGGGGGGGATATGACGAGTCAGTCTATGGGGGGGCAGGGAGATTCCTGCCCCCCCCCATTGGGGGACTCTGTGCTCCCTGTGAGATGAGTCATTGGGGGGGTGGGATATCTCCTGGGGGATGTCACTCAGCTTCCAGCAGACACTTCTCACCACTGGGACTTCTCCCATAGGGGATGACATGCAGTTGGTAGGTGGTCGGGGGGGGATATCTCCTCGTAGATCGTCTCACACACCCCCCAACACCACAACCCCTAACCACCCCCCAACCCCACACACACAACCAACAGCTCACAACTCCCAGGACCCTTCTCACACAGGACTTCTCCCATAGGTGTGACATCAGTTGTAGGTGGTTTCTGGTGATGCTCCGCCCACTGTGGGGTCCCCCCTCCAGCTGATTTGCTGATGAGAGTCCCTCGGTTTGTAGAGCGGCTTCCATTTGGGGTGCTTGGCGGTTTCCTGCCTCTAAACTCACGAGGACTCAGGCTCAGGGGAGGTAGGTGAGGGGCTCCTATAGGGCTGTGTAGGGAGGAGGGATTGGGTGTTGTGTCTAGAGGGAGGATCGGTTGGGAGGGAGGGGAGGATTGTTTGTGTTGGGGGAAAAAAGGGGAGGATTGGGTGTGTATATAGGGGGAGGGTGTGGAGGATCAGTGGAGGGGAGTATCGGTTGTGGTGGGGAGGATTGGGTGTGATATAAAATGTGGCTCCTCCCATCACCTGCTGACCTCTTTTCTCTTCCAGTTCCGGAGGTGAAGTCTACACCTACTCTGCTGGCACCATGGTGGAGTCCCCCTTGAGAGGTAACCGGCTGGGAGATGCCCATTCCACACCCTTCTCTGCAATGATTTGATGTAGCCTGTGGGCCCCTCCCTCTCGGAAGTACTCTGTAGGGATGGGGAAGGGGCAAGCTTTGGGGGTCCTGTCATCTGAAACCAGAAGTGAGTCTAGTCTCCCAGACTAGGGGAATTGTATGGCAAGCAACACTTCAACCTCCCCCATATATACTAAGAGGATGGGCCCGGGCGGAGGGAGGCCGGCGTGCAGGAGGGGTGGGCGCCGGGGCGGAGGCCGGCGTGCAGGAGGGGTGGGCCCGGGCGATGGGAGGCCGGCGTGCAGGAGGGGTGGGCCGGGCGGAGGCCGGCGTGCAGGAGGGGTGGGCCCGGGCGGAGGCCGGCGTGCAGGAGGGGTGGGCCGGGCGGAGCCGGTTGTAGGGTGGAGCTCTAATCATTTCTGAGGTCCATGTAACGTTCGTCGGGGGTCGAAGAATAGGAACGCTCCATAAGATGGGTTTATGCTTCACCCTCTATCTGCTGCTCCTCAACTTGATCCACATTTCTCCTCTACAGAATGGAAAATCCAAGTATCTGGCATCAGTGTGAAAGAAGTCTTCCAACACATTGAAGCCCATGACTCCCATGTGGGGAAGGTTGTCAGCCTTGGGGAGAGATATCCCAGGCTCCGCCCCCTCCAGGTTAATCGGGAGGAGAATGATACAATACCTTATTCTGGCACTTTACTTGAGCGGGCGGAGGTCACCGAGTCCTCAGACCGATATTCCCCATCCAAGGTCCAGGACCTGTTTGTTCCTGATGGCAGCGGGTTTGTCCCCAAGACTGTGGTGTTGGTGGGACCTCCTGGAATAGGGAAGACTCTGACCACATGGAAGATCATGCTGGACTGGGCCTCTGGAAGCCTCTACGCCGACCGCTTTAGTTTTCTGTTTTACTTGAACAGCAAAAAAAATAAATAAGATTAATGGCAATATCGATATTGAAGGACTTGTGGCCAAAAGCTGCTCCAAGCTGCAGTGCCCAGAGAATATGATCAAGTCGGCTTTCAATGATCCTTCCAAGGTTCTGATCGTTCTTGATGGGTTTGATGAGCTGAGGTGGACCATGGAAGATGACGATGAGGACTGTGATGACCCTTTCCAACAGACCCACAAAGACACCTTCCTAAGATGCCTATTGAGGAAATCTATCCTTCCTGAAACCTCTCTGCTCATCACATCCAGATCCATGTGCCTCCCAAAGATGAAGGAGCTCACTCAGTCCCCTTGTTCTGTAGAACTTCTCGGGGGTTGTCAGGTGTGAAGGAGATCTAGAAGAATATTTCCACAACTTCTTCAAAAACAAAGATGAGGCATACCAGGCAATCTCGGGTGGTGAGAGAAAATGAATTTCTATTGGGTTTGTCTTCAGTTCCTTTGACCTGTTGGCTTGTCTGTAAGATACTGAAGGTGGGAATGAAGAACGAGCTGAGCCCAGCAAACTGTAGAACCCTCACCTCCGTCTACCTGTCGTATCTCAGGAGCTTACTCCTCAACCAAGGTGGGCAACCAGGCTGCACTCCAGTGTCTGCAGAACCTCTGTGCCTTGGCCATCGAAGGCACCTCGAGTCAGAAGAGCTTGTTTGATGAGGAAGGTCTTAGACTGTGTGATTTGACTATATCGGTGGTAGCTTCTGTCTTCCCAGATGACAGCATTTTCCAGAAGGATGTGGAAGCCACAACCAACTACAGCTTCATTCACAAGAGCGTTCAGGATTTCTTTGCTGCATTGTATTATGTGTTGGATGAAGATGCTGAGGTTAAAGAGACCGGCATGGTGAGTGGAGATGCGTTCTCCCAAGAGTCTGCAGAGGAAGATCTCTGATTTTTCAGGCTGAATATCAGCCATACTTGAACTCCACCATACAGTTCCTCTTCGGCCTCCTGAATAATGATCAGCTAAAGGCGTTTGCAGAAGGCCTTGGGTCTAGCGTTTCCTTACGAGCCAAATCTGCCATGGAGAAAATGGCTTGTTGATGGAAGGCTCTGCACCGATGCCCTAACCTGCTTCTACGAGGCTCAGGACAAGGAGCTGTGCAGCCGAGTGTTCAGTGCCAAAGACCTGGTGTTTGAGCCGTGTTTTTACAGCTCATCCATGGAGAATGTACGGCTCAGAGAGATGCTGTATTGTCTGGCAGACCAGAGGAGCTTTGTCTCTATCTGCCTGGAGGATCAGCTGATGAGACCCCGAGACCTGGAATTGCTGTCTCCCTTCTTCCATAGCTCCTCAAAGCTTTGGTAAGTGTTCTGTAGTCCCTTTACCCCAAACTAACATCTCTGATGTCTAGAGACCTTTCTTGTAGGACGTCATGAACAGTCACACCAACACATGGATCTTCCATTGCTGCTGGGGTCAAGTCTTCACACTTGCGTTTGTCTTTTGTAGTCTGTAGATTTAAGGTAAATTGAAGGCCTTTGAATGTCCAGCATCATGCAGAATGGACTACCTCTTAGGAAAAAAAAAATGCCTCAAACTGTCTTCAGCTGGAGAACCAGGAGATCTGGTATGGAAACCCTTCCAGAATTGTGATAATCTAACATCACTGGAAGGCTGTCCTGACCATACCTGAACCCTGGGTGTTTGTGTATAGAGGTCTCATCTGTAATTCATGGCCTACAATGCTGGACCTAATCCACTGTCCATGGCCATTGTTTCTTAGGGAGGCCAAAGACTAAGTGAATTTCTTTTAAGCTGAGAAATTCGCAAAGTTTCCCCCATCAACACAGTGACTGGGATCCCTCTCGCTGAGCCATTGTGTTCTGGTGGGGGGGAGCTGTCCTTACTGGGAGAACAGGGATTATTGCTAGCAGCAGGCTGGTTATACCAAAGTTGATTGATGCATTCAGCCTCCCCATATATGGTTCAAATCTCAAGAGTTCCTGCTGAACCAGCAGAGATTCAAGCAGTGTATGGCTGGCTTTAGTTTGTTGGAGATGGTGGATGTCCTGGTTGAGGTTTGGAGTGGTTTGTGTTCTGGTTGATCAGTTGATGTGTTTTGGGTCTCCTCCTCCATGGGAGACCTCATTATCTAGTAACAGCTTCTTGAACCATTGACCTGTGACAGAAATATGTTAAAGGGCTCTTGGCTTCAGAAGTTTGTCTCGTAAAATAATTGTTTGGTTCTGAGAGATCGTTTGATTTTTCCTGCAGCTTCACACGATGTGGCTTTGCTGAGGACCTTGCAAAGGGTGGAAAGGCTTCTTGGATGTCTAAACCGGACAGCAAGATCGAAGAACTGGAGTAAGTTTGTGCCCTTCTGGCCTCTTCCCTAATCTCTCATCAGGCTGCTGGTGACCTAGATTTGAACCTCAGGGTAGTCATGGTGTCCTTCCAATTTTCCGAACTGCTCATCATAAATAGAAATGTTTTCTGCTTGGTAGAAAACCTCTGGTGGATCCTTTATTCACTCCTTTATTCACTGGTGGACATGCAGACTTCTGGATTATAGTGTCCCATCACCACCATGTTGGACATTGACAGCTGCTCCTTCCTCATGGGTTGTCCCCTGCTGCTCCTTCATGGGTTGTCCCCAGGAGTCTACATTCTGTTCCCTACATGGGACTGTTAGCTGGGAATATAGGTCCCACAAATTCCTGATCCAGGTTCTCAAGGAAGGAAAGGAGTCAAGTTGTGTGTGGGTTTTTTTTTTTTTTTCTGGTTTTAGTTGGACTTTTTTGCCATCTTGGACCACAATCCTGAAGCTTTTGCTCTCCTCACAGGTTTCAGGTCTCTGTGGTCACCCCGTCCTTCTACGAGGATCTCCGTTCTGTTATTTCTTCCAGCCGATCGCTCACCAAACTTGTCCTGGGTCACCACACTCTGGAGGACTCTGCTCTGAAAACCATGTGCGATGGCCTGCGCCAGCCGGGCTGTGTCCTGCGGGAGCTGTCGTAAGCATTCTCCTTGAGGGGGAGGGACTGGTGGATGGGGAGGGACTGGTGGGTGGGGGGGGGGGGGGGGGGGGGGGGGGCGGGCAGTCTCCTGGAGGGGGAGGGACTGGTGGATCGGGGGGGGGGGGGGGGGCAGTCTCCTGGAGGGGGAGGGACTGGTGGATGGGGGGGGCGGGCAGTCTCCTGGAGGGGGAGGGACTGGTGGATGGGGGGGGCAGTCTCCTGGAGGGGAAGGGACTGGTGGATGGGGGGGGGGGGGGGCAGTCTCCTGGAGGGGGAGGGACTGGTGGATGGGGGGGGGGGGGGCAGTCTCCTGGAGGGGGAGGGACTGGTGGATGGGGGGGGGGGGGGCAGTCTCCTGGAGGGGGAAGGACTGGTGGATGGGGGGGGGGGGGCAGTCTCCTGGAGGGGGGGGGAGGGACTGGTGGATGGGGGGGGGGGGGGGGGCAGTCTCCTGGAGGGGGAGGGACTGGTGGATGGGGGGGGGGCAGTCTCCTGGAGGGGGAGGGACTGGTGGATGGGGGGGGCAGTCTCCTGGAGGGGAAGGGACTGGTGGATGGGGGGGGGGGGGGGGGGCAGTCTCCTGGAGGGGGAGGGACTGGTGGATGGGGGGGGGCAGTCTCCTGGAGGGGGAGGGACTGGTGGATGGGGGGGGGCAGTCTCCTGGAGGGGGAGGGACTGGTGGATGGGGGGGGGGAGGCAGTCTCCTGGAGGGGGGTACTGGTGGATGGTGGGGGGGGGGGGGGAGGCAGTCTCCTGGAGGGGGAGGGACTGGTGGATGGGGGGGAGGAAGCAGTCTCCAGGAGGGGGAGGGACTGGTGGATGGGGGGGAGGAAGCAGTCTCCTGGAGGGGGAGGGACTGGTGGATGGGGGGGGGGGGGCGCAGTCTCCCTGAGGGGGAGGGACTGGTGGATATGGGGGGGGGCAATCTCCTGGAAATGGTGGGACTGGGTGGGGGAGGCAGGCTCTTTCTGGGGGGAGGGGGTGGGACTGGGTGGGGGAGGCAGGCTTTCTGGGGGGAGGGGGTGGGACTGGGTGGGGGAGGCAGGCTCTTTCTGGGGGGAGGGGGTGGGACTGGGTGGGGGAGGCAGGCTCTTTCTGGGGGGAGGGGGTGGGACTGGGTGGGGGAGGCAGGCTCTTTCTGGGGGGAGGGGGGGGGGACTGGGTGGGGGAGGCAGGCTCTTTCTGGGGGGAGGGGGGTGGGACTGGGTGGGGGAGGCAGGCTCTTTCTGGGGGGAGGGGGTGGGACTGGGTGGGGGAGGCAGGCTCTTCCTGGGGGAGGGTGTGGGACTGGGTGGGGGAGGCAGGCTCCTCCGGTCGTTGGTCTCCTCCCTGAGTTCAGACATCTTTATGGTCCAATCTAAGTTCACAAGATGGCAGATTCCCAATTATGAGGCTCTGACTTTTGTTTGCAGGCTTAGTGACTGCAACTTGACTGCCCCGAGCTGTCAGATCCTTGGCTCCGCCATGAAAGAAAATCGATCTCTACACAAGTTGGATCTGGCACTGAATAAAATTGAGGACGAGGGAGTGAAATTTCTGTGTGAAGTGTTGGAGGTTCCGGGGTGTACCCTGCAGGAGCTGAGGTGAGTCTTCAACTCGTACAATAGAAGTACCAGAAGGGTTGTCCCATCCTAGACATGGCATCACTTCCTGTCCTGTAGACACAGGAGGACCAGAAGGTCTGTTTTGTAGACACAACAGGAAGTGATGGAAACTTCCTTGTAGACTGTCACTAGAACGGGGGTCCCCATTGGAGGATTTCCACTATTCCTTTTCTGGTGACAACTCACAATATTGGATTTCCCTTCCCTCTCAGCCCTAATATAGAGGGATAACCGTACTGGTGTCACAGAACCTGATGGGTTCCAGCCTTCCTTCCACGTGCCATCTTCAGCTTTCAGCACCAAATCTCTGTGTATTGGGTTGTAGATATTACTGGTAAAGCCGAGCCATAAGTTCTAACTGGACTTGTCCTTCCAGGATTGAGTTCTCTGATCTGACTCCCGGCCTGCTGTGAATTCCTCCGCTCTGCTCTGATGACCAATCGATCTCTCACCACCCTGTACCTGAGAGAGTGCAACCTCGAGGACACTGGGGCCAAGATGCTGTGTGAGGCTTTCTGCCAGCCGGGCTGCTCTGTGAAGATGCTGGCGTAAGTTTTGGTGGGCCCATTGGTGGTGGGGAGGTGGTCTGGTGGGCTCATTATAGAACAGGAGAGAACTGTTGTAATGTACTTGTGGGGAGTAGATCTGTGATGGGATGATGCTGAGTATGAACCGCTTC